TTGCTAGGTTGGCCAGGGGCGCAGGTGTCAGGGAAGGGCTAAGGGGACTCTCAGGGAAGGGCTAAGGGGACTCTCTGGGGATTTAGCTAGAACAGATACCTCTCCATTTAACAACCAGTACAGCCACAGAGATGCAATCCAGCCTGTCCTGTCCAAACATCTCAGCTTCTGGAGATCCTTCTGGGATGCTCCCTGAATGAACATCAGCACCCCCTACCCAGCTTCTCAGCCTGGGAGCAGAGGGACTCTGAACACCAACGGTACTAGACTTCTAGAACTGGCCATCCAGGTTCTGGCAGACACTGGGCACCAGTAGAGGCAGGGAGTCAGAATTATTTCTTCCAGCACTGGGGTAGATAGCAGAGCGGGGAGTGAAGGAGTGCAGGGCCCAGGCCTTTAGAGGTTCATGCCAGAGGGCTAGTGGGGCTTTAGGATCAGAGGAAGTGGCACTCAGGCCCACTAGGCAAGGGCTGGGGGAAAGGATGGGCCTTCAGGATTGAGGTGTGTGCCAGCCAAGATCTTAAAAGGGCTCTGGAATGAGGAGCACCTTGTCTGGAGGCTGGAGAGGACAGGGAAAGGTGACAAGTGTGCCATAAGAGAGGGGGACTAGACTAGGGTATGGCTTAACACTTGCCTAGCATGTGTAAGGCTCGGGTTCCACCTCCAGCTACAAAAATAAAAACAATTAGGAAGAGAGAAGTTGTGGAGATGCCAGGGGATTCTGTGGGGAAGGGTGGGGTGGTGATGGGATCCAGGAAGTAAGGACAGGTGAACAGGGGTCTCAGTAGGTAAGGCTGGGCATGCCAGAGGGAGACCAGCTACGGGGAAGTGGCTGAAGGGGTGCTTGAAGTGGACATCCAGGTTCCCAGAAGGGGAGGACAGGAACCCAGAAGGGGGCCTTGGGCATCTGGGAGACAAGAAATTGGATGCCCAGAAGGAAACCAGCCAGCAGCCTTCCTCACCCAGAATCTCAAGAGATGCCTCTTCCAAGAGCGCAGGCCAGAGAGGTAGATCTCCTGCCACACAGGGCCACTGAGCTCCACTTCACCCCTGTCTGAAGTCAGCGAGGGCATGAAATTCACAGCCTGGTGGGCCTCAGCCATGTCACACGGGACCTGGGGGAGGGCAAAAAGTCTTTCTCTGGATCCTCAATCCCTCCTCCCTAGACCCAGGGGTCCAGGCTTTAAGCCTCCTCCCTAAGACCCAGGGTCCAAACCCAAATGTCTTCTTCCCCAGGCCTACAGGCCCCCAGCCCCTTCTTTCAGCTAACCCTGGGAAATAGGACTGCTCACCTTTTCCTAAGCACCTGAGAGGTCTTGAGGGTCCTGGCTGGAGACCTAAAGATGTTGGGGGAGGGACGTCAATTGAGAACCTCTGTGAACGCATAGAGAAGAGGGAAGGATCGCTCACACGAACACCTTTAGTTGCTCTGCAGAGAATGCGGAGCTAGGGCAGTGTCCCCCGCCCCCAGTAAGACTCCGAGACCGGGGGTGGGAGAGGGAAACTGGCCCAGGGTAGTTGGGTCTCGAGGAAAAACAGTTTTAGGTTCATATGAAACGAACACCTGCCGGACATTGCCACGGTCCACCCCATTTCCGCTCCCCACTCCAAAGGGGTGGGCAGGGTCTATAAATTCATCAGCTGCCGGGAGACCCAGCGTCCCTTCCCCCTCCAGGGACTGGAGGGGAACGAGGAGGGAAGAACCTTACTGCGCATGCCTCGCAACCAGGGATGCTGAGGCCGCGAGCGGAGGAGAGCATTGAGGGCAAGGGATGGAGAAGCCCGCACGCCCCAGCCAGGACGCCGGCCTCCAGCCCCCAGAGGAGCTCGGCCCCTTCGGTTCCATACTTACGCTAAGTCAGGGGTCTTCAATCAGATCCTGGGGACCAAGATCGAGAACATCCCCTGCCCCACCGATTTTGTGCTCAGAGCTCAAGTCTTCCGCTGGCACATGTCCAGTCCGCGTGCGACAAGTACACGACTTGGTGACCGTCGTTCTCCGGAATCCTGCCCAACCCCAGGACCACCCGACACCCAGAAACCACGATTTCGGCCTCGCGTGTGCCCAGCCGGGTATTCAGGTCCCAGATTTCATCCCGCCCACTTCGGCGCTCGGCCTCCGATCCCCGCCCCGTTCCACTCCCTCCGCGTTCTATCTCCGCCCCCTTCAAAAAATAAGGTCCAATCCCCTTCCTCCGTTGGGTACCCAGGACTCAATTTCCTTCTGCCCAGCCCGATTCGCCACAGTTTGGCCTTCTTTATTCGGCTTTTTTGCTCGGAGCCTGGGGTTCTTAAACTTGGTCCTATGGACTAGGAGTTTTACTTTGCTTTCTCTTCGAAGACGAGGCTTGGCTTAGAACTTTCAACCCACCTCTGGGTACAGCGTGATAAGAGGGAGGAGATGCTTGGGGTCCGGTGCGTCCCCCAAAACTACCCACACAACCACGAAGAGATGTATGGGTTGATTTGGCACAAAGAAGGCACTACAGCGGATTGGATTCAAGTTACACAGTATGAGGGACTTCCGTTAGGGAAAAGGAACATAGAGTATTAGAAACCCGGCCCAGATTGAGAGGATAAAATGGGCACAGACAAGCAAAGACAAACATGAAACTCTTTGGTTTATTAAGCTCTGGACGTTAGTGTTCTGTCTAGGCTGGTTCTGGGTACAGCCCAGTCGCAGTCTGGAGAGAGGCTGGGGAAGACGACCCCAAGGGGAGAAGAAACTTGGGGATAGTAGCCTTCCTACACAGGCGGACACACTGAAGCCAGGGCAGGAGCAGAGAAGTGCTGAGGTCACCCCATAAGCTGGGCACTGTCCTGGCCCCCTTGCTGACGGCCTGGGTCCTGGGGATGAAGCAGGAGGGCTCCTGCCTCGCGCCGGCGGCGCCCATAGCTATGGGGGTCCTGGGGCTTGCGGCCAGCCTTCCCCGAGGACTCCTTGGTGGAGGCAGAGCGCAGCCAGTATATAATCTCCGGCAGGCGGTGCGTCTGACATGTGCCCAGGGAGCAGAGGTGGCCGCGGTGCTGGGGTACCAGGTGCCAGAGCCGCCTGGGGAGGGAGCGTAGAAGAGCGGGCTCAAGCAGAACCCACTTCAGAAATGATGTGCAGAGGGGCACCCACAACTCCGAGAGTAAGCGGGGCGCGCTTACAGATCGCCTACCCAGCCGGCGGAAGAGGAAAGCCGACTGGAAGAGGGTGCACACCCCTCGTGGTCTCCTTCCCTCCCGGTCCGGGATGCTACTGGCCTTTCTCACCTGCCTGCGGAGGCCGAGTCCCCTAGAGCGGAGGTGAGGAGCAACAGCATGAGGATGTGGGCGGACATCGCGGTGGTGAGCAGGTCAAAGTCTGGTAAACTGTGGAGTAAGCGGCGTGGAGGCCCCTTCCCGAGCGCCCACTGTAGAGTGTGAAATCAGGGCGGGTCCCCACTTCCCAGAAGACTAAAGCCAAGTGGCACCCCGCGCTAGAGGGGCAGGACTCCACCGGATCCCTGAGTGTGCAGAGCCATGCTACGCCCCTTAGACCCTCTTAATACGCCAGGAAAGTGGGGCGGGGCAGCTGACACCTGCAAATAGTGACAGCGGCATGCAATTCCTGGAAAACGGAGGTGGGTGGGAATCGACTTCTCTCTCATCACCTTCAAGGAGCTGCCTAATGCACGCAGCGGAAGGATCCTAGAAAATGGGCGGAATTGCAGAGCAGAAGACCAGCAACGTGGGACAAGTGGAAAAGAGGCGTCTGGCCCTGGCATAACCCGGGAAAAGGACTTAGTGTAACAGGGGCCATATCTGCAGGTCTGGGGCACCTGCTGCACCTAAGCACGTGTAGCCAGGGCGGTAGAAATTGTTAAAATGCCCTGGCCATCCAGGGGGGGTGGACAGCAGGGGTGGGGAGAGCGATTCTGAATGACATGCAGTGGAAGGGCTGGTATAGAGTCCCCGACCACAGTGAGGCAAAATGGGGAGCTATGAGAAGGAAGTTCCATCTCTGTTAACTGGGTAAGTCCGGCTGGCAACATCCTGGAGAGCAACTCCCCACACCCAAGCTCCAAGCAGAGTTGGTGAAGGAAAAAGGAACCCCCCCCCCCCCCGCGCCCTCTTGACTCAGTTTATCCAGGTGGAGAAGCCTGGGCCCACTTGTTTCCAGTCAACCCTGCCTGGCCTGGCCTTGGAGGGTCCTGGACAGGAAAAAACAGCCCGGAGTGACAATGTGGTGCTGGGAGGGTGGGGCAGGGTTCTGGGAAGCCTAAGGGCCCAGCTGTGCTGGGAATCCAACCCCACCCTCAGCCCAGCAAAACTAGAACAGAAGCCCAGTGCCAGCCTCAAGAGACAACAGAGAAGAGTTGGGACAGACCCTAGGAGAACTCCGGAGGGCAGAGAGCCAAGAGACAGAAGCTTCTAGCCTAGAGACAAGAGGATGGGGGCAGAGTCCCAGGCATCAAGTCTCCGTCCTCTCAGCTGCTCAGGCTTCCACCTCAGCACCTGTGAAGAGAACCCCAACCCACTCTACCCAGGACACCACACCAGGTCCCAGCTGAGGATTTATTGGCGTAAATGCAACCATATAAAAACATAAGTTATGAAAAAACACAGTCACGATGTGCCCTCCCCATCCCCCCAGCCCAGGCCCCTAAAACCCCCTTCTGCAGGAGGGAGGGAGAGAAGGGGGACCCCAAAACCGCCTAAGAACGCCGCAGCCCCTGGGCCTGTGCAGGGCCGGCCCGGCGAGGGCAGGAGAAAGCCGAGTGTCGCCTCAGCGCATCCGGTAGTCGGTGGAGCAGGACAGCTCACACAGCTGTCCTTTGAAATCCAGGTCAATGGTGAAGTCCAGGTCACGCTGTGGGGAGAGGGAGGCTGTGAGGGGCAGGGCAGGTAGAGCCCAACTATGAGGTGCAGGATGCAAGACCTGGCACATTCCTGTCCCCAGTCCTCAGAGCAGGCTGTCTTGTGTACCCTCCCTATAGGATCCTTTTAGCCCATTTCTGTGCAGGTGACTCCAACTGAGTCCCAGCTCCAACATGTGTCCCAACTCAAGTGACAACTCCACATGACATCTCCAAGCCCACAAAGTTCCCAGTCAAATCTGCCAGAGCTTAGAAACTGCAGGTCACCTGAATCACACTTTCCCCCACCCATCCAATCCCATCAGCAAGTTATTTTTTTCCTTCTTTTTAATAAGGAGAATTTAAGCCCCCATCCTCCAGCTAAACTTTTTTTCTTTGGAACCCGGTATTGAACCCAGAGGCACTTAACCATTGAGCCACATCCTCAGCTCTTCTGTATATTTTATTTAAAGACAGGGTCTCACTGCTTAGGGCCTCGATAAATTGCTGAGGCTGGCTTTGAACTCATGATCCTCCTGCCTCAGCCTCCAGAGAGGCTGGAATTACAGGCATCCGCCATTGCACCAGGCCCTCCAGAAAACCTGATGGTTCCAACCACTGCCACCACTTTCCCTTCCCCCAAGTTTCCTGGAAGGCCCCACCCATCCCCAGCTGGCATGTCTGGCAAGGCTGGGACAAAGTCACCAATGGTCCAAATGACTCTTTGTGTATCCATCACTTTAATCTTGGTTCTCCATCTGGGCACCACTGCAATTTAGGGCCAGATTTGTTGTGAGGACTGACCCAAATACAGTGGGATTCTCAGCTACATCCCTGGTCTCTACCCATGAGATGCCAGTAGCACTTCTCTAGTGACGACCAAAATTGTCTTCACACTGTGACGTGCATCTTCTGGGGGATGAAGGGCAGCACCTAACCTCCCCAGGGAGCATGGCTGTTTTACATTATTGACTTACAAAGTGGTGTGACCTTGGACTGCTCCCAGATCACTGTCACTACCATAGGAGCTCCCAGCCTCATGCACTATAGCCCTGGATGGACACACCCAGCCCTGACCACTCTTCCATCTCCAAATTCTGGAACCTTCATCCTCCCACCCACTTGGCATCTTCCAGCTTCAGAATGGCCATGCTGGGCCTCCCAATGGTGCCCTACACCTGTCTCCAGCCCCAAGTCTCAGCTGATGGCTCCATCTTGCCATACGCTCAGAAGGAAAAAGGGAGAAAGAAAAACCCCAAATCTTCTCTCTTGTACCCCACACCCCAATGGTGACCACTGGACAGCAAGCCCTGGCAGCTCTATCTCAGGCCACCTTGACCCCACACCCAGCTTGACAGAGGCCACCTCCATCTGGGGTATACAATATCAATCTCTCCCTTTTCAAGAACGGGGCCTCAACCTGATCAAGGCTCGGTCACCAGGACCTGGCTTTATAGAGATGGGCTCAGGGGCATAGGGACCCACCCCCAGCAGCTCCCGCAAGCCTCACATTGTTCTTGGCATTGGGCCTCATGCCAATGGTGCCGAAGATCTCCTCGCCCGTCTTCACCGTAAGGTAGTCCTCCATGTAGAACACCGTCTGCTTCCAGTGCGTATACGGGGACTCAGGGCCTGGGGGCGGAGGTGGGTCAGCCACATGTGGCCAGCCTTGGCCTGCTGCCTGTTCCCATCCTGGAACCTTGGCCTCTGCTTGAACACGCACCCCGTGACAGAAAACTGCATGCTGACTGGTCAGCACTGGCCAGGAACCACTTTATCCCCACCAAACCTTGGATACAGGGACTGTTGTCTGTATTTTGTGGATAAGGAAAGGGGGACACAACACCCAGGTCACTCCTAAGCCTCATGGCCACTGGGTGGCAGAGCCAGCATTGGAATGGGGGCTAAGGGTTCCCTCTGCACACTTCTATCAACATAAACCTCAAGGCTGGCTGGGGACCACCCGCTTGCCCCCGCCACCATGGACTCTCACTAGTGGAAAAGCCGGTCCTCTTGTGGCAGCGGGTGAACTCGATGTTGAAGTAGGCCACCAGGGCGTGCACATAGTCGTTCCGCTTCACTTGCAGGCAGAAGGGGGAGGTGAAGGTCAGGTCTTCCACCTTCACGGTGTAGATGTCCACCTCCTGTGTGATAGTCCCTGTGAGCTCCAGCCTGCTCAGCGCCATGCCCCTGGGACTGCGCCTTGGGATCCTTTTAGCCCCCACTGATCTTCCTAGGTAGACTCTGCACTCATTGCTCATCCTGCCTGTTCCTGTCCCCACCATCCAGTCCAGCAGCCAAACACAAAACTTTGGAGCATCTGTCAGATTCCTCGCCCCTGTCTCTCCCACATCCAGACTCCAACTCTACCCATAACCCACACATCCCCTTGACACTACCTGCCCAGATGCCACCACCCCTCAGCTGTGGCAGCCTCCTTCCTGGCCCACTGCTTTTGCCCTCACTCTGCCATGGCCAATACAACCCTTTGAAGACAGTGACCATCTAATCACATCAAACCCCCACTTAGGACACTCTGAGAGTCAGTCCCATTGTTCTCAGGGGCTGGCTGGTGGGGTCCCTGCCTTGATCCTTTAATAAGCATCCTCCTAGTCTATGTCAGCCCCTCCTGCCACTGGCTCTGCCTGCATCATGTCCAGTGCAATCCTGGTATTTCCTCTCTGGTTCACTGTGCGGTCTCAGCTCACTCATGGCCCTGAGCTTCCTGGGTTCCCCATGTGCTGTGTTCTAGCTGCCTAGGGAGGAACGGCCCGCAGTGCAGTGCTGTTTGAGGCCCCCGGCATCTGCCTGGCTCACATAGCAGGGCTCAAAAATTTTTAACAGATGAAGTGGCTTCTCTGAGCTTCTAGCACCACCTTGGTGGACAGGTCAGACAGGCTCAGAGATCCCAGGCTGATGGCCCCTTCTTTGGTTTCAACACTGGGAGACACCCCCCTACCTTTATGAGGCAGGCATTAGTGACCAGCTGCTTAGGGTCCACCACATCCACTAGGGGCTCCTTGATGGCCACATCTTTGATGCAGGACATGTCAAAGCCGTACACGTTCTCCCACCCTGGGGAGGCAGGTGGGGAAAAAGATGAGCACGTGGAAGCCCAGGCCCTAAGCCTCACCCAACCCACCCCACCAGCTCCTTGGCCCCGAGCTCACAGTGGATCTTGTAGTCTTTGTACTGTCGGTCCTCGATGGCTGTCACATATAATGTGGCCCGGTCTGGGAAGATGAGGCCATCAGGAGCCTGCAGAGGGGTGGAGTAAGCATGAAGGGTGGGGGCTGTGCGTTGCCCCAGACCCTCCTCTTTTAGTGTCTCCGCCCACCCTGTGCTCCCACCCTGCTCTGAGCCCGTCACCTCCCACCTGGACTCCGCAGTTGCCCTCATTGCCACCCTCATCCTGAGGTTATTCCGATAGGGTCATAAAAGGGTGCCCAGAGCACCCAAGCGATCTTCAGAACCCTCCCAGACCCTCAGTGAGGAAAAGCAAACTCTCATGGGGACCCAAAAAGGCTCTGTAAGATACGTACCACCCTCCCTTCCCTCTCCTCCAATCTCACCTTCTTCTGCTCTCTGCCCTCTGTTCTACATGTTGAGCACACTCTTGTCCCAGGACCTTGCAGCGGCTGTTCCCTCTGCCCAGAATGCTCTTCTCTCCAGATTCATAGGGCTCCCTCCCAATCTTCCTTTAGTCTCCTCTCCTGCTTTGCCTGGGATCACCCTATTCCTCTGCCCTGCCATGGTTTCTTCTGAGTACTAACTTTGTCCTGATGCTCTTTCCTCCCTGTCATTGTCACACTATTTTGTGCTTTCCAACACATATGCAATCAACCCTTGTATGCAATCCTCTATTGGAAAGACTTGCGTGGTTTGGATTTTCTCCCTGGACACCAGCCTGTAGGACCTGCATCACCCCGCCCCACCTGGGCCTCACCAGCCACTTGTCACGGGCGTAGAGCACTGTGTTGAGCATAGACTCGTAGAAGAGGCAATAGCCCATCCACTCGCTAATGATGATGTCCACCTTTTCCACAGGCAACTCCACCTCTTCCACCTTCCCCTTGATGATGGTTACCACTGCAGGGTAAAGAGGTGACCACAATAAACCCCAGGAAGACCAGCCCATGCTCCTCCCCCCAGAGGTCTAGAGCCTGGGACCCCACTGGGGCAGCCCTTGCCTTCAAGACAAAGGGCTGGGGGCTAGCTTGGGAAATCTTCAAAAACCTTAGCAGAACCACAGCATCTTAACTATATTCAAATTCATATATTACTCTGAATTTTTTTATTCTTTTATTTTGCATTGCTGAATCCAGGCCCTTGCACATGCTAAATAAATACTCTACCACTGAGTTACAACCCAAACATTCTGGACATTTTTGAGGCAGGAATAAAAATTTTATATGGCCTGGGTATCAAGTAAGGAATCAGTGGGGACTTGCCCTAAATGGAAGAATACTTACAAGCTGAGTGATAAGCACTTATGGGTGCATTACAATAGTCTCTTAACCCCCTCACCCCCAAAAAACCCAAGAGCTGTGATGTAGCTCATGGCAGAATGCTTGCCTAGCATATGCC